TTAGATTGCATAATCCAACCCATATTTTGATTTGGATAGTATTCGAGTCAAGGTTTTGGGTTTTTAAGACCCAATTTAGATTCACTAATTTGGGTTCAATTTATGTTGCATCGGAATTTTAGCCAAGTGGCGTAACCTTAGAAATTAGAATCGAACTCGAATTGAATTGATTTTGAACCCAAAAACAACTTAAATTGAGTTTGAATTTCAATTCTATTCATAAACATGAGGATTGGACATGAATTGAACCCAATTTAAGTCTGATTTGTGAAATTCAATCTAATTTTAAAAATGGAATTTTTGGGTAGGGATACATTTTTTTAGATTTATTTGAGAAGAAGTGTATTGATAAGCTCTATACTCTGTTAAGTTTATTTTTACTAAAACATCATGTTATTAGGTACAAAATTCAGATGAATTTTTATTTATATTATTTGTTTACCATTCTTTAAATAATGCATAATTGATCGACAGTTTATTTTCAAATCACATAAGTGAAGATTTGATTAGATTTTATCGTTCATTTGAATTTTAAACATTTATTATTATTATCTCACTCACTCATTCTCTCTCTCCACTGCGTATGCAAACCGTAATTACTCTCTCTCTCTCTCAATTCGAAGTTGACATTCTTAAACGCTATTATATTGATACTCCAAAAGAGATACGTCGAAGAGATCATAAATGATTGATAATTTACTTTTCTTTCCATTATACAAAAATTTGATATAATCAGATATCAATGTTACACTAATCAGTTACACCAATGGGGTGAACTTAATAACTAATGTGGTGAAATATAGATGAAATGAACTTAGTACTTTAAAGTAAGATGATTGAATGGAGATGTAAAAAGAAATTTAAGGAACGAGAATAGTCCCACCCTTTTTTTCCCTTGTCACCTACATTTTTCCCTCATTTGTGAGGGGTATTTATGGACAGTTTTGAGTGAGAACGTGCTTTAAGGAATTATTATTACCGATATGCAAGTTGAGTGTTGTTTAAATGATGTACGTTAGCATGGTTTTTTTATTACAAATGTATTTTTCAGCGATTGCCTGCAAATTGGAGAACAATTATTGAGGCTTAGACATCATGACCATGTGATCTGAGCCATAAATAAACTTCACCTCATCTGGTGGATTATTTTCGAACATCCACCTTTGTACACTTTCCTTCGTCACTGTAATTTCCTTTAATGACGTTTCATCATCATCATTAGCGAGCGTCGGGGGTCTCACCAATGAGATCGCAGGAGTCAAATCCTGTTAATTTTTGGCACGATCAAAAGGCATGAACAACAACAACAACAACAAAAGTAATTTTTTTTTTTAAATGGGTTAAATTTTTAAATTTTTTGAATAAATAATGTAGGCCTAATATAAACGAGAGAGCACACATAATATATTATATAAATATATAATGCATATACCCTACTAATAAAAAAAAAATTTGTTTGAGGAGGGCCACTTGCCTACCCTGGTCCAGCTGTTCCTCCGTCCCTACGTAATCTCTTCTCTGTTCCAATCAAAATAAGAATAGAAAATCTTGAAAAACTCTTTCTTTTCATGATTATTGGAGCTTAAGCCTTAAGGGCTTTGAAAAATTTGGCTAATGATTAGTGATTTAGTAGACCGGTGCTATTAGTCTTGTATGAAAGTGGTAATTTTTTTTTTTTTTTACTTGGGGTTTCAGCCTACCATAACTCACTAATGGATTCGTCCCTGGATTTTTCCTTTATAAATATCCTAATTTCGACATAGATGACCTGTCTTTGATCGAACTAAGAAGGGGATTAGTCGAAATGCACGTTAGTTGGTTCATACACTCTTAATCAATAAATCCGTTTATTTTAGCTACAATTAATCTGTTTATTTACACTTTAACCACAATAAATTTACACTTACCTATATTTTAACCACAATAAATCTACACACTATTTTAACTTCAGTAAATCTATCTACTTTTATTTTAATCATGGTAAGTGTACCAACTAATATTTTAACCATAATAAAAGAAAAAATATACATTTAAACTATTTCTCGATTTGTGCGTGTCATTATTGTGTAAGAGTTATGTTAATCTTCTCCGTATCATTCCAATTTTATCAGATGCACCTAAAGGGACAAGAAGAAAAAATATACACATTTGGACTTGCATTGCAAAGGGTACCCAAGAAACAACTCTATAGGAAGGAAGAATCGCAAACATTTACTCAATTAGTGTTAATCGTAAAATTTAAGGTGGAGATTAGCATTTTACAACCTAATCATCAGTTATGCCCAAGTCGTAGCGCTCATGGACGATTGCCCCTCAAAGAAATTTTTTTTGGCTTGTTTGTTTGTAGTTTGATGTAAGACATATAAAATCTGTTTCTTTTGGGTGATTAGGTTTTGATTGACTTTGTATGGCTGCCGCCCTTTTTGTAATCGTTCTTGAGAATAGTGAAACCCCTGCAGTTTCGTGGACGTACGCAAATTATCAAACCATATAAATGTTGTTTTGTGCGTGTGATTATTTTTCTTTGGCGTGTGTTTTCTCCATTGTTATTTCTCACAGGTTTGAGAATTTTGTGTGAATTTCCTTAACATCGTCCAGGGGTAAATTTCTAATCTCCGTCCTCGTCCCCGCTTCTCTCATATTTGCCTAAGCCCAAAACCCAAGTAGCATAATCCAAAATTCTAAATAATTTCAATATTGTAAATAATCCAACAACATTCTAACATAATCTAACACAACATAATGTAGATTGCAAAATGTAAAAGCCAAAATAATATAATATTCTATTTATAGTGTGATTGGACTACAAAAAGAGAAACGAAACTATTAGAGAAAAATGAAGAAAAATAAAATAAAATAAAACTAAAAAAACGATAGCACTATACTTGAAGTTTCCTAGAATAATTTTTGTTATTATAATTCATATTACAGCCATAAAATGTTAAAAGATGAAAACTTAAAATTTACTAATTCAATAATTCTCCCCATTTCTTAGTTCACTATAGCAGAGAAACTCAACAACCTCCATTCACAATATTTCTACCCACGATGAAAAGCAAAACTATTTTACTTTCTTTTATATGTTTTTAGAGTATGGTCAATCCAAACTCCTAATAGTTTCAATCAGTGAGCATAAATAGAGAAAAGAACAATTAGGGAAAAAAGTTGATAAAATTACCATATAACAATACCACTTTTTAGTTTGATTACCATATTTTTAAATTGATAGTTACAGTAAATATGTTTAATTAGATTTGGGAGTATATATATACATATATATAACGGGTAACGAGAGCAGGCAGGGTAAATCCATCCCTGCCTTCATCCTTGTACATATTTATACGAGTATTCTCATATACGTCCACCGATTCAAACGAGATAAATTTGAACGAATACCTATTTTTTTCTGATCCACTGCCATCCCTACTCGATATTAATATCATGTACAAAGAAGTAGCTCACTGTAGTTCAGAGGCTAAGTGCATTGCAGCCAGCCGGGAAAGTCTGCGGTACCGCCTTTGCTATCCTACCAAATGTTACTATTTCTATGGTAAAATTATAATTTAAAAGAGAGAAATTATAATTGTTCAAAGAAAATTTATGATCGATCACAGATACACATGATTGATCATGGATTTTTTCTGAGCAATTATAACTTCTCTCTTTTGAGTTATAACTTGACATTTAAAAATTATAATTTATCCCTCAAAAAAATTATATCTTAATCTAAAAATTATTGTAATTTTTGGCACGGTAACTCCTTAGGGACCGTAGCCTTTCCCCAGCCAAAATAAGGAAATTAATGTATGCATTAATTGCCCATCAATCTGGAGGAGAATTTTGTTTGATTTGAAGAGGCGGCATGGCATTGATGTTTTGTGAATAATCTATATTAATAAAACAGACTCTCTTATTTAAGCTGTTTATGCTCTTCAATTAAAAAAACATAATAACGATCTAGATCGTTTTGATTTGATAATTTATATTTTTTAATTATAATTAATTATTTAAATTTTAACTTTTTTTAACTATAGCAACTGATCCTATAAATTAAAGAAAACGTACTTTGCACGGGACATGACTAATATTCAATAATGAAAAATCCATTATATCGAGTCTAGTTTAAGGAAATTCATCGTTAACAATAAAAAAAAAATCATTTATGTTATTTTTATTTGGTTTTGACCGTTTGTATAGTTGTTATCTGTATGTTAAGAATATTTTTTTAGATAAACGGGAGAAATTCTTAGATTGTTCTCGGTAAGCAGAGGAGGGTTTATGTCGCTCATATTCGTGAGTCTGAGTATAATCTAGGGTAAACTCTGAGTGTATGAACCGATTCCTCAACCCATACACTATTTAGAGAATTTGAATTTCAATATAGATTCATACCTATACCAGATATTTAGATACAATTCGTCTAAACAATTGAGGTTCGTCCTATTAACCAATCACACTTTTTGTCACCTAAGGAATTAGAACACTTGACTTTAAAAATAGAAAAACCTTCACAAAACAAAGATACCGTTGAACCAAACGCAGTTGGTGTATGTTAAGAATGTTGCTGCTATGTAGGACTGTATTGGAGTAAAAGTAGGCAAAAATGGGCAGTGAGTAGTCTATTTTGGGTGTTAAGCAGCCAACAAAAATCAGTTCTTTCATCTCTGTTTTGTCTATTTGCTCTCTTTACTCTAACATGGATTGTCCCCGCTGTCGTTAACAGTACGGTGGTTATAATAAAAGACAAAGGAAAAACCTGAAAAGGAATAGCCATGAATATAGGCAATGCATTACTTGCAGTCAACTAGAATACCTTTCATTCTCAGGCATTTATATAAAAGCTACCAATGGAGGCGAGAAATGAATTATATCCCTACCTCTTTACTATAAACATTGCCAGTACAGCTTGCTTTTTTATCATAACAGAAGATCTGCTGCAAGTACTTTAATTTGTTGAAGAAATCAAAATACATAGAATCATGACTCAGCACTCGAGCGCAATGGTGAAGGAGATGAATTCTAAAGAACTGGAGAAGAAGGTCTGCAACGGGTCTTTGTCTTTCCTGGAGGAGAAGACCAAGAGAGTTATGTACAAAGAGTGCAGGAAAAACCATGCTGCTAATATTGGTAGATATGCTGTGGATGGTTGTCACGAATTTATGCCCGCCGGGGAAGAAGGAACAAGTGCGTCTTTCCAATGTGCTGCTTGCACTTGCCACCGGAATTTCCACAGGAAGGAGGTTGAGAATGAGTACTACTGTGATTGTTCTTCCATATGTGCCTCACCAAAATAATAATTTGCAGTGTTAACCCTGATATAGGTGTTTCTTTTATATGGTATCTGCTATTTTTCTTCTTAGATCTAGATTTTGGATCTAGGGTTTTGAAAATGTAAACTACATTTGCATAGTTTTATAGATATATTATGTTCCCAATTGGTTCATCTTTTTTTTTTTGGCTACTAGATTCTAGGTTTGTGCCGATTACTCTTTCAAATTCTGTAATTGGTCACTGTGACTTGAACTGACTTAAAACATATTCCTTAGAAAATAAGGGTGGGCTAGTCGTTAGAGGGGGTGGGTGGGAAGAAATTGAACATGAAATCTCTGAATTATCAAAAATTAAACTCAACCACTAAACCACCTTGAGAATTTGTTGGTTCATCTAAATTTACTAGTTTGCATGACAAAGAAATGAGCATTCCTGTGACTTCTCTGAAATTATTTAAGAAATAAAAGGAATGCCAATAATTTGTGATACAGACAGTGATCCATGTAATAAAATCTCTTCTTTAGTTTGGTCAAAGATAGGTTATTTACGTTGAAATTAAGATTTATAATTAAGATTTAATTTATTAAATTAACATTTAATTCATCTAATAAATATTCAATTCATTAAATTAACATTGAAAGTCATCTAGTTAATATTAAATTCATCAAATTAATATTTAATTTCATCATATTAACACACAATTTATCAAATTAACACCAAATTACCATTCAATTCATCAAATTTATCTTCAAATTCATCCAAATAAAATTCAATTCATCAAATTAACATCTTAAATCATCCAATAAAGATTCATTTTATCAAATCAATATCAAAATAACATGAAAATTCATTCAATTAATCAAATTAACATTCAATTTCATGTTAATAGACTTAAAATTTGAAAAAAAAAAATTTAATCAACTCAATTGTCTCAAATATTTGTAGAAAAATGAATTTTAATATGTAAAAAAAAATTAATCGGCTCGAATTTTAATCGAATTGTACGTACAAAAATTATTTGGGATTTAATTGAGAATATGTTTATCCAGTATGGGAGTAGATGATAATTACTCATTTTACATTTACACTGGTCATGATGTTGCTAAGATCGTAGCAAAACCGATTCTATTGATTGTAACACAAGGTCGGTAACAATATCAGTTATTTGACCGGTTTTAATTGTAACAAAATTGGTTATGATAAAACATGATCGATCTAAAATACTCAAAAAATGGTTATTTTATCCTAAAAAGTGGTAACTTATTCTTAAAAAGTAGTAAGTCTCAAAAAGTGATAACTTATTCCCAAAAGTGGTAATAATTCTACTGTATATTAATTTTTTTTTACAAAAAATTGCATTAATCTCAATGGATTTTTTTGTAATAATTCTACTCTATATTAATATTTGTAAAAAAAAAAATGCATTAATTAGTTTAAACGTAATTATTTATATCTTAATTTAAACATAATTATTTATAATATTTTTTTCTTCTTGCGCTTTTCTCTCAGCAACAATGAAGTAATTGATTCAATGAGTTATATCTCATGAACAGATTTAAATGTTTTACGAAAGATCAATGACCATACATTATAATTAAGGAAAATTTGGAGGTCGGTCCCCTTATATGGACTTATTTGGACTTAAATCTGTCAAATAAACTTATTTGTTATGAAGTCTATTTTTTGTCAATTTTACCATACTATCCCTTCCCTTTAGAAGTAAAATAAAACTAAAAATTAAAAACTCCTAAATCTTAGGAGTTTGACTAACATTAAAATATTTTCTCTCTCATATCTATCTATATCTATATATAGGTTAAGAGTTTGACTAACATTAAAATTTTTCCTCTCCTCTCTCTCTCTCTCTCTCTCTCTCTCTCTCTCTCTCTATATATATATATATATATATATATATATATATATATATATATATATATATATATAGTAACATTAAAAATAAAAAATAGTAACATTCAAATATAAAAAGGTTCTCATTTAAACACAAAAAAAAATAACATTTAAACAAAAAGAAATTGAATCATTCAATATTAATATTTTTAGAAAATAACAGCAGTAACATGTTCAACAAAAATATTAACATATTCAACACAAATAGTAACATGTTTAACAAAAATTGTAACATACTTAACAATAATTATTTCTCTCAAATTCAAACGTAAAAAATAATACTATTCAAATACAAAAAATAGTAATATTCAAAAAAAAAATAGTAATAATCAGGGGTGGAGCCATAGTGGGGGCAGTTGCCCCCACTGTAATTTTGAAAAAAAATTGAGATACATAGTATTTTCAAAATTTTAGGATCTTACCCCATTACAATATTGTAAAAAAATTAGGGGTATTTATGTATTTTAAATGTGAATTTCTACAAATTTTGTAGACTTACATGTTGAGTGGGGTCCATGTATCTGCTCTACGTATTTGGGGACTATAGAGCGAAAATGAAACATTAAAAATACAGATTTGTTCTCACTCCAGTAAAATCTGATCCAAAAAAAATAGAAAATGTTCCTAACCGTATATGTCCTCACTTTTAGATCTATTGATTCCAAATGAAACAAATATTTAATTAAAATTTCAACGAATTTGCATTTATTTTGGGTCACACTCGATCTCCATAGGCTAGCGGCATACAATTTTCTTTATTTGGATAATTTTAATTAAGTATTATAATGCTAACAATTTTAATGTGTCTCATGAACACGGTACAAAATTAACTTAGAATTAGAGTGGTTTAATCTTAATAAATTTGGGTGATAATGAATGGACCCATTAGATCTCTTTAATAAATGATTCGACACAAACATAGATAAACACTACACATTCTTATTAAACATAATTGATACATAGTGCAAACCCAATAAGATATTAGCATAATTATACATGATTATAAACATTTTCTCATAATTTTTTTCTTTTGGTATTCCTTTACTCTTTTCTCTCTTTTATCTTTTATATTTAATCTTTCGTTAATTCGTTTTTTATTCTATTAGCGTTTAGCAAATACATTGAGTGGATAGCTTTAAAAAAAATAAGAAATTCTATCAGAGCTATTATGGGAGATAACATATAAATAATTTCTATAATTTCGACAGTTTTTGCAATTTTTTTAATTGTCTTAGCACTATAATTAGAGTTATGTTATTATTACTCTTTTTTTTTGCTAAAAGTTAGCAACTATGATCATTTGGATTTGAATTGAGTGTATCAATCTCTTTGAAATATTATGTACAATGATCGTTCTCTTAAAAATTGGATAATACTGAAAGTTTAATTCAAGAAATAAGTTTACTCCTATGATCTTAATTGACATTTATGAAAAGCCTTTACCGTGAGTGTTTTTTTGATTACACTTTTATGCAGTTATTTTTACAAAAATAAATGTTAACACTCGTATTGAATTTTATGTTGCCCCCATTGTAGGAGAAACCTGGCTCTGCCCCCGGTAACATTAAATATTAATACTTAAGAAAATAATAGTAGTAATATACTCAACAAAAACAGTAACATGCTCAAAATAATAGTAACATGAACAGTAACATACTCAACAAAAACAGTAACATAATACAAAAAATAGTAACATGAAATTGAATTTTACTATTCAAATTCATAGTAACATGCTGATGTAAACAATATTGTACAAAGTTTACCCTAAAAGATGGTAAAAAAGAGGGACGAGAATGAAAAATAACACTGAATTTGAACTTGACAAATAAGAGACGATTGTATAATTCGCAAGGATTTGTCTTTTCTGATTAAACGAATTGGATTGAGATTGAGCGAAAGACTTCTTTATAGACAATAATCGGAAGTTTTTTGCCTTAGATGACGAACTCGAACACAAAGAAGAAGATAAAGACACATAAATAGTTGAATTTGCTCTGGGTTTTTGAATATTGCTTTCAGACAAATCTAAGTTTATTGATTTATCAGTTGAAACGTCCGAAATTGAATCAATCTTCGATGGCAAAGTGATTAGTTGATAAACTCTTCTATCACGAACTCTCTTTTTCTGCAAAAACAATAAAAGATTTATCAAGTTTTATGAAAGTCTTCAAACCATTAAAAGTATAAGATAAATAAATAAATAAATAAATAAATAAATAAATAAATATATATATATATATATATATATATAGAGAGAGAGAGAGAGAGAGAGAGAGAGAGAGAGAGAGAGAAAGAGCTTTGAATTTGAATTTTAAATTTATGATGGAGATTTTATTGACATATTTTAATTGACATTGAATTAAGGGATAACAATTTTCAAAATATGAAATTAATTTAACTTCCTTTCAAGGAAGGGTATTTTTGAGATAAAAAAAATAGACTTAAGTTATTATATATAATTTTAAATATGAATTTAGTCCCTGATAAGTTTATTTGCAGGACTTATCTTCAAACAAGTACATCTAGGGGGATTCACTTTTAATTTTCACTAAAATTAATCCTATTTATAGGGTTAAGAGTTAATTAGATAAATATAAAAGGATTTTTTTGATGGCCGGTCCTATGTAGCGATATTTTAAGTCATAAGATCCAAATGCTTATCCTTTGGGTCTTTAAGAAAAAATTAATTTTAAAAGACCAATTTACTTTATTTAAATAAAAATATAAAGTTTAATAATATTCATATAAAATGCACATTTCAAAAATCAAATCTCCTTCATTTTAGATCTTTCTTAATTAGAATTTTCTTCCTTTCTCTCTTGTATAACTTGGACAAAATCCACGTCATTGTCTTAGAAGAGTGAAAATACTTCATGGGATAATTTTGATCTTTGGGGGCTCAATCTTTAACATCAATATCATGATAATTTTTTATATTTAGATTATGAGAGATATCCTTTTTAAATATTTTAGTCTCAACATGAATGATCTATCTTTAATTAAATCAGGAAGAAAATTAATCAAAATATACATAAACTAGCTTCTGACCATTAAAACAAGAAAACAAAAAACTTATAACAATATTTCTTTTTGATAGTGTTTTGATAGTAAGAGGGATGTGGGGGGTCCACAACCATTGGCATTTGGCCATAAAACAATAGGGTGCCCTGTCCAAATTGGAAAGCTTTGCGAAAGGAGGAGAGACATGGACAAAGCAAAGTTTAGCTGAAATTTCCCGATTTGTATTAAACGTGTTTCGTTAAAAGAGAAATATTAAGCAATTCAAATTTATATCCCAAATGAAGGGAGACCTTTGGATTAGTGGGTCTCATTAACTTTTTTAAATAGAATCCACTGATCCAATGATCCCCCTTCATTTGGAATGCAAATTTGGGTTACAGATTTGAGTTACATTGCATTGCTCTTCGTTATATTGGTTCCTGTCAAAAATTAAGTCACTTATATTTTATTTGTTTATTAATTTATATCTAACAAATTCTGTTATATCGAGTTCGTGTCGTATATTTTTTTTATTGTCTTCATTTATATTCGATTTATTTATTAATTATATTTTATCGGGTCCATTTGTTTATAAAACGAGTGATTTAAAAGAAGATTCACACCCTTATATTTCGTATTGTATTAACAAATCGTGTCATATTTTATCATCCTTACCATAAACAATTCGATGCCCCACTCCAAATTGGAAAGCTTTGTGAAAGGAGGAGAGACATGGACAAAGCAAAGATTAGCTGAAATTTCTACCCAAATAAACGTGTTTCGTTATAGAGAAATATTATGTAACTCAAATTTGTAATTTAAATTTGTATCTCAAATGAAGGAGGATCATTGGATAAATGAGTCCCATTAACTTTTTTAAATGAGACTCACTGATCCAATGGTCGACCTTCATTTGGGACGCAAATTTGGGTTGCAAATTTGAGTTATATAACATTGCTCTTCATTATATTGGGTTCCTGTCAAAAATTAATTCACTCATATTTTATTTGTTTATTAATTTATATCTAACGAGTTCTGTCATATCGAGTTTGTGTCGTATATTGTCTTCATTCATATCCGATTCATTTATTAATTATGCTTTATTGGGTCCATTTGTTTATGAAACGAGTGATTTAAAAGAAGATTCACGCCCTTTTATTTCGTATCGTGTTAACGAGTCGTGTTATATTTTACCATTCCTCTCGTAAACAATTTGGTGCGCCAGTCCAAATTGGAAAGCTTTGTGAAAGGAGGAGAGAAATGGACAAAGCAAAGATGAGTTGAAATTCCTACAGGCATGGATCACATTTGACTGAGTGTTTCGTATGTCTTTAGCATCTTCAAAGGGATCAGTGGATGTTAAATGGAATAAAAGAGGTGATAGTGGTGCCAATGGTAATGGTGACAAAGTAAGGGCTACTTCATCTTGATGCAATTTAGTTTCGAACAATGCGGAAGGGCCTTTAGACTGAGTATTTTATTTCCTCTCTCTGTAAATTTCTTAGTAGAACTGTAACTTATCTCCTCAAAGTTATCTTGTTACTATTTGATACTGAGTGCCGTGCCTATGTATGATTTAATTACAGAAACTTCGATCAGAGGATGAATATGCCTCGAAAAGCAATGAGATCAAAAGGGAAGTCACTGACCGAAATTTGATGCCACAACACATGGATCATGGTGATAAAATTGTGGGAAATAATATGCTTGAAAAGAAAAGGAAAAAGAGAAAAAGGAAGCAAGCTGAAGACCTTCGGATTGAAACGGTGGAGGGATTACGTGGTTCAAAAAGAAGGGAGCATAAGAAACAGTGAGCCTTTCTTTACATTTGTAAAATGAACATTTTGTTAAATTTTTTTTTTGTCATCATCTTTTTAGAAGAGTTTTTCTGTTCTTATCAAAAAGAAAAGATACTAGAAAAGGATGAAAAAAGGTGTCTAAGATGAAGATGTTTTACAGAAACGTTATCTGAATTGAACTTATCTAGTTAATGTCATAGTCAATACATGTTTTGTTGTTGATACTTAAAAGTGATAGGCATTGCGAGATCCTTTCTCAACATTATGAAGGTTTCTTTAAGAAGCTTCATTGAATTGGAACCGTGTTCTTATGAATGTCAACATCAGAATTTGATAATTTGGAGAAACTTGGGATGAGCATGTTAAGGAAAAGTGAAAAAATTAGATTGCGGGTTTCCCTAGGGATAAAATAGATGTTGTCCAGGGGCGCTACACCATTTTAGAACATTAGCCATGCCACCTCCAGAATGGTCCTAAGGAAAATCCTGTACTTCAGCTTTGTAACATCCCATTAGAGTATAGAACTGCAGCCTTGCTAGAATCTATTGACATTCGAGTTTGATATAGCAAACATTGTTGTCCTTATTCGCTTTTCCCCAAATGTTGATATAGCAAACTCTGTTAGCTCTAAATGTTGGCATTGCCTGATAAAATGAAAGACTAAAAAAAAAATCTAAGTGCACTAGTTTTTGGAGATTTAAATGAACTAGTTTGGAATTTGTGCAGGCGTTTGGAAGCAATGAAAAAGAAACACAAAAAAGTCGACGCAAGAGAGGATTTGAACTTTCCTGGACGTGATCTGATCAAATTTGGAGAGGTAGTTGAAGCCCCACCCAAGTTGCTCTCATTTCCAAAGGTAGTGTCTCGCCTGTTTATGGTTACTTTGATTAGATTACGCACAAATACACATTTTAGTGTTAGCTACTTTGGGGGTGGCACAGGCATGCCCAAGCTCACTGCTAACAGGTCTTAAATTTTAGTGTTAGCTAACAGCGTAACAACAGTCTTCATTTTAGCTTAAAAACTCTCTCTCTCATGAAGGCATCCAAAGCTACCCATGACGCGTCACAAGAGAGGCTCCGTTCCGTTTACAGGCAGTCGAGAACTACAGGAAGCAGAAAGGATGGACGTCAAGGCCGGGGATCCACCTTCCTCCACCCGTGATTACATCACCTTCACTATAGTTCCCGTCATTGTAATAATGCAAGGATGTTAGACGGACAGGGAATTGGGTGCCACATGAATTTGCTCAAAATGCTAAATTTGTTGATCATCTAGATGTTTGGCTATGGGCTGCACCAGACTTTATGATGCCTTACCTCTTTACCATTCCAAATTAATACAACTGCCTATGATTTTTGATAAAAAAAAAAAAAAAAAAGGAGAGATCACTTTATACACAGTTTATCTTATTAGTATACCACCCTCTAGGTGGTATTAATTAAACCAAACACACAACAAACAAACACACCCGTTGAGTTCTAGTGGCCGCCTCTGTGGAAGGCATGAACATGGAGTTCGCCATCGATGCGAAGATTGAGCATAGTCCTGTAGTTGACAACTTTCTGATCATCACCCAATTTGAACACAAAGAAATGCAACAAAACTGCTGAGAAGATCTTCATCTGCCTATATGCAAATTCCTTCCCCAGACATATTCGTGGGCCTGCCTGTTGTTCATCATCAAAAATTTATAGTTCGTTCAAAACTTTTACTCAAGGTTGAGCTTGAATTAAATGTGAGAAATAGAAAAATGTTGTGAATTGAATTGGTTTTCAGTGATTCATCGATTTGAAAATGGCAAGTGCCAACCGGTTAAACCCAAGTTTTCTACGGAGAAGGTGAGATTGAAGGGTGAAATTTATGAAATGGTAATGTAACAGCAATTCACAACCCAAGCTGGTGGTATACTACTAAGTCGTACCCGTTTAAAGTCATAATCAACTCTCATAGGGTTATCAAGCAGGGTTTAATTCACGAGATTAATACGGTTTGCTCCTTGACTTTAATGGTACTGTGGTGACGGGCTGTCCTCCCGGGTTAATAGCTATGGCTAAAACTAGACATTCCACAGGACCCTCGTGGTCATGCCAAGGGGTTACTATCTACTGGTCGGCTTCCCCTTTGTTAATCAGCAAAAAAAAAAATGTAACAGCAATTCTACTAACCTGAAAGGCTGTAAATTTGAAGGCGCTCTCTTGCTTGAAGCTACCATTCTCATCAAGCCATCTCTCTGGTCTGTATTTTTCTGCATCATCGCCCCATATGAATCTCATCCTTCCCATTGCATATGGTTGGTATGCCACCATGTCTCCTTTCCTCACGTTAAAACCATCAGGAAGAGTGTCATCTGATAAGCACATCTTTGCGTCCTGAAACCATGGAAAATTCATATTCATAGATTACTGAAACAATTCAACAATTTGGTAAAAAATATACATGGCTTTTGTGACTAAAAGTCGGGTAAACATCAGCAATAATAAACCAGAAGGAAAAAGAAAAATTGTAGTAATTTCAAGCTTCTGGTTTTCATTCGGATTGAGTTCTGGTTTCAAAACTTCTTACAACTGCAGCCCTTAATAAAGACTTAGAATTAGGCATTATATGATGGAGATAGAATTTAGGAGTATATGTACATCACAGTGGGAAAATTATCATCTTACAGACAGCATCCTAGACAGGACTTGCCTAATCTTTAGAGTCAACTAAACAAAGGGTTGAACACCAACATGTTATGCAACATTCTGAAGCTTCTTTATTATTCATTCATTCTTAGTACAACTCCATCCGGGGATACAATCAATCCCAGCAGTTCTTAAGTAAGTTGAAGAATGTAACGGATAGGACAATCAATATTCTGTCTTTGCAATATTGGGGAACTATCCCAAAATATCAAAGTCAATGCAACAAATTGGGTTAAAATATGAAACTTACTGCGTAATACAAGATATTATCAAACCTAAATTTTGTTATCAACCCTGTGAGGTTTTGAAGCTGAATAACACAAAATAAGAACTCAAAGCAAAGACATAAGTATTCAGGTATCTATTGAAAATGGCATACTGTCAAATTTCCATTACCACTGGAACTGCAGGATAGAGTCTGAGAGTCTCAGTCAGAGCTGCATGAAGATACTGCATCTTTTCTAGAGCTTCCTCACTCAGACGGGCAGCAAAATCACCAATGTTCGTAATTTCTTTCATGTTAGTTGCTTCTTCTATTTCTTGTGCCACCCTTTCTTGTATGGCAGGATGCTTGCAAAGCATGTAGACGAACCATGAAAGAGTCGTAGCTGTGGTGTCTTTGCCAGCAATTATGAAGTTCAATATAATGTCTCGTATGTACCTTGGATCTACTTCACTCAATTGCAAAAACCTCGACAAAATATCTTCTTTCTTTAACTGAAATCGAAATAGAGTGATTAAGTTAAATCAAATGTCTATACCTCGATCAGAAACAAAAGCCTTGAAGTGATTCACTTACAGAAGAATCATCTTGTGACTTGTGCATATGCTCAGTCTTGCTACGGATCAGCTTAAACACAAAATCATCAACCACTTTGATATTCCTCTTTAACTCAGCTTCCGATCCTATATTGAGAGCTTTCTTAATCTTCCACAGGATATCAACATATCGCCAAAGAGTCACTGCACTTGCATCATCAAAAGCATTGCTAAATTTGCTGCCTTCTTCACTTGAACCACACATGCTGTCCAGTTCCACTCCACATGCAACTTTGAATATAGAATCTAAGGTTGATTTCATAAACAGATCCTACATTGATAGTCTAGATTAGTGTTATAAGAAAAATATAATACATGGTTGAATTGGGATACTTGAATAGCGAGAACTCACCTGAATATCCATTATTTGATTGGAAGTTGCAGCTTCGGAAACTATGTCAGCGAGTTTCGCTACTTTTTTCCTGAACACTTTGCTGCTAAAGTCCCTTAATATCCTAGTGGAGAATTCATGGCTTGATACTTTTCTCTGTTCACGCCACTTGTCACCATCCACTGTGAAAATTCCATCTCCTAATAGATCCTTTAAATTGATGTAATTAAGCTCTCCCTGCATAACATTTCAAAATTTTAAGTATCATGGGGCGGCGAACATTTATACCGACCGACACTGATAAATTAGAAGTATCATTGTCCAGTAGTGCTTATACCGAGTCATTATCACAAACGGGAATAGATAAGCATACATTTCATTGAATTTTCACAGTGCCCAAAATATCGCGTACTAAATCTGAAATTAGGCCGTACCTTGCCATAATTTTCGAAGTTTGTTTTGAGAATATACTCAACATTTACTGGGTCGGCAGTATAAATCTCATTCCTGAAAGGGCTAATCAATCTGTAAGTCTTGTACTTCCCAGCAAGATCAGTCATGTAATGGTGCAACCTATTGAAGTTGATCAGCTGATTAAATATGGTGCCACCAATTGGATGGTACTTCTTCTTCCCCTGTTGATTCTGTAATTTACTGCTGAGGATTTGCAGGATGAAGATGGCAAGGATGAGAGAGAAAACAGAGATAGCTATGGAGGTTGGGTTGGAGAGAAAGTCTATGAAAGCCATGTTGTGTAATGAACAGAGAAGTGGTGATTATTTGGCTATATTTTTGTTTCTCGGCTACATGCGATACTGTTGAAATTCACGTGGCCTGGCCCGGAATGAAATGGTCAGTTGGAGGGGTGAGTCATGACGACGGATGGGAAAGGCTGAAGTTCTGTGGTATCAATTGGAATTTATAAAATTTGACTTTTTCATGTGTAAAATAATTAAATTATTTGAATTTGTTTAAAAAACCGAACTCAACAAATTTAACTCAATTATATATCATACTACTTACAAGTGTGGCATAAGGACGATATGATTATTCTATAAAACAAAATTAATAAATTAAAATTTGATTTTAATACATTTGAATAATAAATAAGTGAACATGTTAGATCTACCTAATAAACAAATCCAAATAAACTGTCATAATTGATTAATCATCCGCCAACTCGTGTATGGGTAAAGTAATTTTTAAAATAAACTCACTAAATTATGACACAAGCTCAATTCATCTAGTAATGATTGTCAGGTTGTGATACTCATATCCTAGTTAAAACACAAATTGGAGTCTAGATTTGAATCCGAATCTCAATTTGAAATACAACTCAACGTAACTTTTATCCCAACTAATTTCTGTGAGTTGTCTCTATCAAGAATGCCCCTCACAAATAGGTCTGTCAATGGGTCGAATTTGAATCTGATTCAGGCTTATCCGAATTCAAGTTCAATTTCAAAAGTTCAATCCAATGATTCAATAAATTTTTTTTTGTGGTTCACACCCGAAACAATTAATAATTCAAAATTTGATCAAATTCGAATAACTTAATTAAATAAATAGTATCAAATTATACCTAAATTTTAACTAAATTTCTTTAAATAATCCCCTTTTTTTTAAAAAATATTTATGTAAAAATATATAAATAATTTGGAACGGATCATAATCGGATCGAATATAGGTATATTCCAATTTAAATTCATGAAATAAAAGATATCGAATTCGGATTATCGATAAAAAAATATTAATTCATATCCAATTAATCAGATTCAAATTAGAATACGATTTATTGACAAGCCTACTCGCAAATTCAAATTTAACGGATGCATATGATTCATGGATAACTGTGTTCATTCAAGGTTTGCTTGCTTCTATAAATGAAAGCGTATGTGATTGGATTAAAAATTAGTCGAGATGCGCAAAAATTGTACTAAACACCACATACCAATGAACCAAACAAATTAAAAATAATGTTAGTTAGGAAGATACTTTTGTCTGTTATTGGATCAGAAACAGTGGACACTTTGGCATTTGACTGGCTTATTATCTATCTTATTTTACCGTTAAGAAGTTGGATTTTCAATTTATAAAATCACAATAATTGTTTAAATTAAATTAATTTTTATTTATTTTGATCTAATTATATAAAATCGTTCTATTTTTTTTTCACTCAAAAATATTATCTTCTCTACACGGTTATTAATGTGAGACAACTCAACTCACACACTCTTTAATATTAGATAATTTTATTAATTCACATTTATCTCTCTTTTCTCTATCTCTCTCTGATTATTTTAATTTTAAATTACATAATTTCAAAAAAAATAAATACAAAATTATTATTTAAAATATAAAATTTACACAATCAATGTTTGA